TATATATGTATATATATATATATATACATATTGGGTTGTTCAAAAAGTCATTGTGTTTTTTTCAATTGATTTTCAGGTGTATTTATTTAATAATGAACATTAATTAATGATATATTAGCCGTTTTGTTCGATGACCTTCTGCCATTTCCCGGGCAACTTCATAATACCATATTCATGAAACTTCCCATCCTTCTCTGCGAGAAACTTGTCTAGGTGTTGTTTGATGAAATCTTCAGAAGCAAACGTTTTACCATTCAAGGAGTTTTGCAAGAAGCGAAAGAGATGGAAATCTGATCGTGCAAGGTCTGGGTTATATGGTGGATGTGGTAACACATTCCAATCATGTTGCAACAATTTTTGCCGAGTGACCAAACTTGTGTGGTCTCGCATTCATGGTGAAACACCACACCCTTACGATTGATTAGCTCGGGACATTTCTGTGCGATGGTATTACTTAATTTCTGCAGCTGCTCACAGTAAATATTCGGAATTAATCGTTTTGTTCTTCGAAAGTAACTCATAAAAGACTGGTCCCTTCCAATCCCACCACATTGACAGCATTACCTTCTTTTAATGAATCTCCGTCTTTGTTTGCCTTTCCAATGCTTCACTTCGCCTACTCCAATTTCTTTTTCGGCTGACATTGTTGACAATCCATTTTTCGCCGCCCGTGATCATACACTTCAAGAACGGATCGTTTTCTTCGCATTTGATGAGTTGATCGCAGACGCTCATGCGATTCGTCAGATAAATTTCTTTCAACTCATGCGATACCCAAACATCGAGCTTCTTTACGAAGCCTAGCGATTTCAAATGGCCATGAACACTTCCAACGGACACTTTTAGAGCGATAGCAAGCTCCCATTGAATGCTTATTTGTTTGCATCAATGCTTTTATTTCATTGTCGTCAATCTTGGAAGGCCTACCGGAGCGATGAGCGTCTTTGAAAAATCACCATCACGGAATCGGGCGAACCAGTTCTGGCACTGGCATTTTTGATGACATTTCTGCCGTAAACTCGACGCAACTTTTCTCTTACTTTAGTTGCTTTCTTCCCTTTTTTGAAGTAATAAAACAGAATATGGCGAATATGCTCTTCAAAATTCTCCATTCGAACCACAATTGCAAGCACAAAACTCGATCGAATCGCGTCAACTTTTTTTTTATTTTTAGGTTAAGTATCAACAACAAAACGCACGTAAACATTTGACATTCATGTCACGCTCGCATACAAATAAACATGAACAATGCCATCTATTGGAAAAAACGCAATGACTTTTTGAACAACCTAATATATACAGGATGTTTCATTTTAAGTGATATGATCGATTTTTTCGTGAATCGATGATTTTATTCAAAAATTTTTCAGACGAAATTTGAATGGCTTGAAGGAGAACACATGATGGAAATGTGAACTTGACCTTGTCAAAATCAAATCAATGTGATTAATGTTTTTTTAAATAGAAGTCCCTATTTTATATTACATATTCTTGTAGCTTATCTCGAGAGCTTTCCAAAACGCTGTAATAAAATTATCATACATTTCATTGAATACTTTCCGAATTATGGGACTTAAAGTTACAGTACCGCCGGCGTTACACATGCGCGTGTGAACGGGATTCTTACGCGCGCGTGTCTCCACGATCTATTCACACTGCTTAACATACGCTCACGCGCTAAGAATTGAGTCTAATTCTTCAATTGAACAATTCAATTTTCCGCTTTTTTTCGTATAGCTTTTTCTTTCAATTTTTTTACATTAGTGGGTTTTTTCAAAGTTTTTTTCAAAATGATCGCTTACAGCTATTCAAATGAAATCGTTAATATTATTTTTGTGCTTAATAAAGTTGGACGAAATTATTGTAGAGTAGAAAGATTGTATCGTAATAGATATCCATTTAGACATCCAAATGCAATGCAGATAAAAGAATTTTATTACGAGAGCGTAGAAGAATCCGTAAAAAGAAATCGCACATAAAAGCTGAAAATGACGTTAATAATCCACGTGTATTAGCAATGATAAGCTTGAATTCTCATATTTTAATTAGAGAACTGCAACGTAATTTAGGAATTCCTTATGTCACTATGTGGAAGATTTTACAAAGATAAATTCCATCCCTACCACATCACTTTAACCTAAGAGTAAGTGAAAATACAATATGAGATTAAGAATTTTATCATTGAGCATTACAAATGATAAGAGAAGATTCAACTTTTTTCTAGTATGTTCTCTTCAGTGACAAAGCCTCATTTCATAACAATGGACAATTCAACAGGCATAACTGTCATTATTGGTCCACATACAATCCTCAACTGATAATCAACATCGTTAGAGTTTTAACTTGATGCGGAATTGTAAATAGATATTTTATTAGTTCATAATTTTTTGAAAAGCTTAAATGGGGAAATTTACCTTTCTTTCTTCAGGAATAAATTGCCTGAGTTTTTAGAAGAGGTTAATCTTGCTACTCGATAAAAATGTGGTGACAGCAAGTTGGTGCGCCACCCCATTTTTCTCCTATTGTGGCGGAATATCTCAATAACATCTTTCATGAAAAATGGATAGGGAAGTATGGATATATTCGATGGCTTCCAATTTTCCGACGATCTTCAGGTTTAATTTGTGGTTTTTTTCTATAAGGCTACATAAAAAATATTGTTTACAAAACTCCGCCGACATCTGCAGGAGACATGAAAAATCGAATAACTAATGTTTGTCGTAGCATTCCTCAAAATATTTTTATTTCAACAGTAGAAAATTTTGAGAAACAATTGAGGCTATGTCTGCAAGAAAATGGAACTCCACAATCAACGGCTAAAAACGTATTCGAATTAATCGATCGGATGAGTGATCGGTTTTGCCTTAGTTGACTGGATCCCGATCTTGCCTTAACTATAAGTTTGTACTTTTTGCATCTACAAGACTGAAAAACCGATATCTGCGGAAAATAAAACAAAAAATGTATTGACGGCATATAACACTTCAGAGAGTACAAAGTCGTCTAAAAGATGACTAATTATAATGTTATGTTCAGACTCCACTGTTCTTTTCTTCGATTAGAATTTTCGTCATTACCTTAATAAAAGTTATTAACAAGTAATATCAGTAAATCATCTGTTTCATAGGAAGTTACAATATTGACGAACCGAATAATATTCGCCTTTTCAGATTAATAATTCACTCGGGACAAAGTTGTTGGATTAAATATTTAAATCAAGTGCTGAATAGACGAACTTTATCCCGAGGAATAGAAGAAGTAAATAGACTAAGAATTACAAATTGGAACAGCAGTTATCTGTAATAAATGACACATGGCTCTAAACTATTGAGCATTCGGCAAATGGTCGATGACGGAAGTTGTTTTAGACATATCCCAGTATCTCATTTCACAACTGATACCCTTAATCCTAAATTATATCAGTAACATATGCAAGGCCACGTGACACTACTAACTCGCGAATATAAAGAGGAAGTCTTCGCGAACAGTCAGTCAGTCAAAACTCAGTTACACGTCACTCTGCCGGTCCGTTACCAGTCAAATTTCAACCCCGAAACTCTGTCGGTCCGCTACCAGTTCTCTCAACCGATTTTAGTTGCGATCTCTCAACCCCGATCTTATCACGATCAAGTCACTCAATTGAAATCCAAATCGGGCAAGCCCCCCCCCCCTCTTTGAGTCCAATCTACGGGACATTCAACATCATCGAAATCGAACCTTCGACAGTCATCCTCGAAAGCTAAGAGCCTTGCAGAATAGCAGTAAGTCCCTTCTTAATTTATATATTCGTATATTCACCGCAAAATCTAACCCAACGCAAAACTATAATGCTTAAATCGCCCCCACAAGGATTGCCTTAAAAACTGGGCCTCGTGAAACACAGAGACTCCTGAATCAAGCATATTAGGAATACCTTGAGGCTTCTCGGGATCGGAGTCATCCAGCCGAACGCATTGCCTCCATCACCTTTGGTTTCGCCAGCTCTACCTACTAACCGAGACGCATTAGAAATGATACTTCCTCCTTCTCATTCACCTCCCCCTCGAACTCCTTCATCTCCGTCATTCACTCTTTTCGGACTCTCTGATGGAGCAAATTTTCCCTGACACCCCTCCACTAACATCTGATTCATACGTCATCTTAATCGTTTTCTCCCAAAGAAGAACTCCGAACGCCACGGACAGCATGGAGTTCCTAGAAGAAATTTCTCCTCCACCATCGAGATCCTATTTCCGCATTCAGAAGAGTGACTTATTTGAGTCACTCGTTAGACAATTCCCGCGAACTACCGAACTTATTCCTGAGGAGACTTTTACGATCGGGCTCCATTATTTTGATCGATAAGAAATCCGGCATGGAATTGCCGGCCAATCTCTTCGTTTCTGGTGTTTATTGTCAATTCCGCGTATCCATATTTAGTTCCGATGGAATTCTTCTTCAATCTTTTTCCTCCTTCCTCCGTTACTATACACAAAATAGAAAAAAACCTGTCTGCTTTGGTCACCCTAAACTTCATTCTCTGGCGGTTATACAACATGTAAATAGTTGATAATAACTATCTTGTCAATTTGTAAATTTTTCTTTCTTTTTATTAGTAATCATATTAATTAATGTGTAAATTTCGTAATAATAAATTTATTAATCTTTTTCTTTATTTTATGTAATGGTTCTGTATTAAACTTGTAATTCGTTAATGATAGATAATAATTAGATTGATAATGATTAGTAATAAACAACGTTAATTTTACTCTCTTTTTCTAAATTTAAAATCCTAAGACCTTGTAGTTGTTAACTTTGCTCTTTCAGAGACACGTGGTCACACACACGTCCACTCCCGAGTTAAAGAGATTAGATTCCTTCACTCGAAATTCGAACCGACGATCGCATCGCTCGTAGGAAACAGATGTCATAACGTCTTTGTGATCCATATTCAAAGGCGAACACAAAAGGTGCATTCGACTCACGGTACTCGCCTCTGTGCGGATACAAGACTGCGAGACAAGAGTTTGACCCTCACTAATTCCGCTCCTTTTCTCTACAATAGGACCATAAATTTAAAATTTCCAAAAGTTTGGACGTAACAATAAATTGTTATAATCTTTTAGTAAAAGAATATCAACGAAAAAAAGATTAAAAGGCAACAGATGTCGCACTGCTAGTTATTTTTATAGTCTTGTCCATATGATAACTAAAAGGTGACTTTTGTAAATATCTTTCATTTTTAAAACTTCTTTTACTATAATATATTTTTGGCTATAACTAGCTAATAGATATAACGTGTAATAACATCAAATCCTTGAATTAATTTTAAGCTAAACGAAATTGTATGAAATTGTATGTAGTATACATCACATTTATGAATCCTATAATACTTCTGTGTCCTATGTACAAGAGAAATTATCTTTCATTATAGTCCACTTTGGGGACTCGCTTTTGAAAAATACCTTATTAATGTTTATTGAAACATGAATAAAATTTCTTATAATGCTGCACTATTTTTCTATTCTATATAGTTTTCAAACACGAGAAACTAAACTCTACTACGTCCATCTGGCGTTGAATGTACTGCTCGTAGTGAAAAAGAGTGATGAAAAATATCAAAATAACAGAATAATATCTTGTTGTCGTTTTGATAATACGAAAAGATATCTTTTAGTCGAACCTTTAGCTGAAAAGGTTCGACTGAAAGATATCTTTTCCATAGAAAGATAAAGAAAAATGTCCTTTTTTAAAGTCATTTTTAAGTTACCTTTCAAAACTAAGAGACGTCTTATAGATATTTTTTCGTCTTGCCAAAAAGACGACAACTTAAAAAATGATATCGTTCTATTATTTTTTAGATATCTCTTCCTTTTGCCGAAAAGACAATTTAAAGAAGATGTCTTCCCGTCATTTTTTAGTATTTTGTACAGTCTAAGCTAAGATCGCATATAGAAGCAGTAAAATATAGCAACATAAGTAATCTATTTCCGTAGCATTTTAGGCGCTGAATATATTTACTAAATTGTTTTAACACACATTTTGAGATTTATTCTTAAAATTATTCTTAAAATTGCAAAAAAAAAGAAGTGTGTTAATATATTTTAGTATAGTATATATATAATAGTATATATAATAGTAGTATTATGATTACATGTTAAGAAGTTTATTGAAAGCAGAATTAAGTATGTCGTTAAGATGTTTAGCCTAAAAAAAATTGTTGTGTTTATTACGTTTCTTCCAAAAATATTTGTAATTAATATGTGTAATTAATATAGAGTCAATTACGCACGCGTTAAATATACAATTTATAAAATTGAATAAAGCGCCAATGATTAATTCAATAAAGGTTTATAATGCCAATGAGAGTCACTATTATACGTGTATAATAAAATATTATATACAGGGTGTCTGGAAATAATCGCCAAATATTTCATGAGCAGGTAGAGCGGACTAAACAGAGTCGAAAAGTCTTCTACCATTCTGTAAGTTTTCCTAATAGTTAATGAAATATTAATCCTTAAAAATAACCGAATATGCTGCGAAGTGTATACGCCTACCGATCGCTTGGCGCGCAAGCTGTGAGGAGTGGGGATAGCCTGGCAAGCGCGCCGTCCGAGCTAAGGAGGCTTGCAGCGGTGTGTGCGGCGCGGGGCGCTCGCCAATCCCCAATTCCCAAGACCCGCGCTCCAAGCGATCGGTAGGCATATACACTTTGCAGTAGTAGGCCGGGCGAGCGCGCGTATTCGGCTCTTTAAGGATTAATATCTCATTAGTTATTAGGGAAATTTACAAAATGGTAGAGGACCTTTCAACTCAGTTTAATCCGCTCTACTTGCTCATGAAATATTTGGCGATTATTTCCAGACACCCTATATATGTCAATAATTACAGACGTTTCGATCATAAGATGCTGGATATCCAGTTAAGTACAGCAGATTATGAAGTTTTACATTTGGACAACAACCTAACGATGTTTCATTAAGTGGGTCTACTTCGTCATAATGAATTAATTTGACTTCAAAAATATTATCGACACACTGAAGAGGACCGAATCTTATGATCGAAACGTCTGTAATTGATGATTGACATATATATAATATTTTATTACAATAGTGTTGGCTCTCATTGACATTATAAATCTTTATTTAACATCAAAGATATACATGCAATTAAGAAACTATCAAATACTTTTTCATTATTCAAATTTAAGACATTTTTTAAGTTGTTGAGTAATATTAAAGTTGATAAATTCAAAATGACAGAATCAATGTGTCGAATGTCAAAAATAAAAAAATATTCAAATTTAAAAAATTATGCATATTTAGGATTTTTTTATATAATTTAAACTGAATTTATCAATTTTAACATCAAATTAGAATTTAGCTGTCTATTTCTAAAAAAAAAAATCCTTAAATTTAAATAATAAAAACATGATTTAAAAACACTTCAAATAAGAGAAAAAAATTTAATTTTTGTTTGAAACGGATCTTGATGCTTGATAATGGTTACATGCAAATTTACAAATACATTTTTCAATCTTATATATTTGTGCATTGATTTAATTTGTTGGACTTATTAAGAAGCAAAATCCGTTTTAATGAAAAATAAAATCCTCTTATTTGATTTATTCAGTCGATCTAAATTTCATTTATAATTGTTTTTAAAAATATTTGATAGATTCTTAATTGCTTATATATAATGCCTATGTAACGTTGATGCAATAAATCCTATATTATATATATCTTTTTAACCATAATAGAGAGAGAAAGATCTTAAAAACATATTTTTTATTATTTTTGAAAATTTATTTCAGTGTCCTAGAGATTTTGATAAGGGTTCAAATTAAGACTTGAATATTATATTTTACAATAAAAATATTAAATTTTCCGTTTATTATCAAATCTCTAATGAGTTTTATTTTAGAGAGTACAAATGTACATGTATAGAATAAGATAAAATTGCATTTACAACAAATCATTGCTTATATGATATAAATAATATAAATAATAATAAGAATATTGGATAAACTTCCACGAAAATATCCAACACCCAATTGCAATGAATTTTGGCAGAAATACTCCAAATAACGTCAAATGAATGCCCTTAAATAGATTTTCATCGACAAGAAATTTAGTGTAAAAAATAAAGTTCCATCTGAATGGATTAACTTTACACAGCTCATTATAAATTTCCTTCATGTTGACTTTGACTTCCAAGAAGATCTATCCATCTGCGCCTCGAAGGAGGGAAAGTAGGGTGACAGTCGCTTCACATGGAAAGTAGTGCGTAGTCCCTAGACAGGAGGGAAGTAGAATGGATCTCGCTTCATGTGGAAAGTCAGACGTTCCTTGGCAGGAGGAAGGTAAGATGAAACTCGCTTCGCGTGGAAAGTTGGACGCCCCTTGGCAGAGAGAAAGGTAGGATATGTGAAACTTGCTTTGCGTGGAAAGTCGTAAGCTCCTAGGAAGAAGGGAAGGATGGATTCTCGTTTCATATGAAAAGTCGGACGCCTCTAGACGAAAGCAAAATTTATGAAATTCCATTTCAGCGATATATAACTTTGTATACATATTATACTTTTGTGTCGATGAAAATCCATTTAAAGATATTCATTTGATATCATTTGGATATCATTTACATCTATCAAAGTTCATAGCAATCGGGCGGTATACATTCACCCAAAATATCAATTTTGTGTGTGTGTGTGTGTGTGTGTGTGTGTGTGTGTGTGTGTATGTGTGCGCGCGCAAAAAAAAATTATTAATTTGCATGTAATTTGCATAATAAATGCTCAAAAAGCTACAAAAAGCGATGTTCACGCTTGTTCTTGAATTTAAAAAATTATTTTTTATTGAATACTATAATTATACAGGATAGATAATTTTCTTTTCTTTCCTTTAGCTTAGGTCGCCTACACATTGACATTTATACTCACACGCAAAAAAAACGCGCTACTTAAATTTTAGCACTAATTCTTAATATTTTTAAATAGCAATAAGTAAAAAATCATCGTAGCGAGATGTTTAAAAAAGCTTTTTTAAAGCTTGAAATCTCTACTTTTCAAATTGATACTTCAAAAAACGGTCTTACCGATATTTCATAGAGTTACACAAACATAATGAAGATGTGTCTAACCCCAAAATTTTTTATGAAATTTGAGAAGTTCCATGGCACGAATTAAAAATTATACACAATTGCCGTTTATAGCTTTCGAAAGATCGAATCTTTACCTTTAATTGCTTTTTATATAATATTTTTTCATCGAGTTATTCAACGTTAAAGAAATGACCCTTTTTGCTTCAACATTGAATAACTCGGTGAAAAAAAAATCAGAGCTTCACAAAAAACCAAATTTGCAGCAAATTTTTTTTTTTAGGAATACATACATGAAGAAAAAAATTATAGAAACAAATCTCTGGAAACAAATTAATTCGAACAAAAAATAATAGCCATAGTATAGTGATAATAATAGGATTATCGCGACATATAGCTTTTGATTTTTTATGAATGTTTGCAACCAAAAAAAATGAGGAAGATCAAGTAAAAACAAGATTCCCACTATTTCAATCACAAAATTAACATAAAGAGCATATAGATGCAAATGAATAATTTCTGCGGGAGGAATCCGATTGTCTATATAGTATTCCCGATTGCACACACCACTCATATCAGTTGATGTAAGTAATTTTTCCATTGCTTTATCAATAAGAATACTTGATTTTAAATTAGCCAATTAGCGATGCATATGAGTAATATGCGATGTACGCAATCAGAACTCTCCCAATTTCCGTGTCCTCCTCTCTCCTCCTCCCATGAGTTCTTTTTGCTTATACGACGTGAACTAGTTTAGTGAGCCTCGGACACGAAAATGTATTTATGCGACTACCGCTCGACCCCCAACTCTATCTACTAAAAATAAAGTTAAAGGCAAATTTTGAAACTTACTGAAGCTAGCCGCCGGCTGAACGTGATCCGCAGTCGTGGCTGCGGATGGTGGGGTGTAGCTGCTGCAGTAGTATGGTGGGTGCTCTATTTTGATCGCGTTTATTTGAGGCTGCATGTCGCTGAGGTCATGCAGTATGGACGCTGAAACCAGACACATATTAGCAGCTATGGTTCTTACCACGTTCATACATGTGTCATTCATTTTCCTTGCACTCCACGAGTATGATCTACGATTGCGAAAACAGCACTTTCGTACAAAAACCAAGAAAATGAAAAAGAAAGAAAGAAAAAGAAAGAAACAAGGGAGAAAAAAAAGGAGAAAAATTATCATTTCTAATACCTTTAATAAATATATAAAAAGAAATAATCAAAGAAATATCCGCAAAAAGCGGAATTAAGTAAGTTGCAATTCTCTGTCAGCTATCAATCTATATAACTTATTCTACACATATAGATAATAAGTGCACGCGCGCGAGACGTATTAAAATGCTATACTATACTGAAATAAAGACATATAAAAAAATTTTTTTCTTTTCAAAGTACTATAGTACCTCGAAGATTTTTTCGTGCTAAACACGATTCCGAGCACGATTCCTTGTCAGAATTTGCATAGCACGTTAAGGTTTTGAGAGAATAAAGATGCGTAAAAAAACACGGTAGTCACTGCGCTTTTAGCGCTGAGACATTATCGTGTCTTCTGATAAATAGACAAAAAATTTTTTTTTCTATTTTCAACAATTTTTTTACGGAAAAGAAAAATTATTTTAAAATAAAGTCTATGCTAAAAATACAATTGTAGAACTTTCAAATTTTATTTTATGATTAAATGACTTTTATTATTTTAATAAATCAAGTTGTGACTGTTTGAATTTAAATCTTCTATATAATCTATAATACAAGAAAAACAAATGTGTCTATTTAAATGTCACAGCGAATAAATTTATAATTTGAATTTAACTAAAAAATATTTCAAGCATATAAGTTTTTGTATATATAAGTATTTGGATATATAATTACTACATACATGGTTACACAATTAAGTTGTAATTTTAAAGTTGTCAGAATAATGGAATCATTGATTTTAAAACTTTCTGAAATAATTTTTTAACCTATTTATTTATCTATATATGTGTATATATGTATATATATATATGTAAGT